GCGGGGGGGGGGGGTGATTTTGGTCTTGAATGTGCGCTATTTTTGGAGGTTCATTTGAGTCCTGAATATCTGTAAATAGAGCTCAGAAGTACTAGAAATATACGAAAATCGGATAATTCCTTTAAATATAATTCAAACTAGGAATGTTACTCATTATTTCTATATATGTCCTTTCTATATATATCGCAGAGTATCTTATCTTGACGAGTCGTCACATGGATTTGAGGGCTCAAATTTCGACTGTGAGCACTATTACTGATTGGCTTAGCTAAGAAAAATTCCCGTTTCTGAGAGTAAAGTATAATTGGTCAAAGAAAATGGTGCATCTGTCCCTTTATATTGTCTTCAAAGTACTAGAAATGTAAGAAAATGGCTTAATTCCTCCACAAATACTTCAACTAGGAATTCCAATTTTTATTTCTATATTTGGCTTCACAATAGAAGACGAGCCGTCTTTTAACTCGGAAACACATGGATCCGTGGCCGTGAGCCGTGGTTGGCCGTGAACAATATTACTGAACACAATTATGTTCCTGAGACTAAGGTACGATTGGTCAAACGGATGGCGAACTTTAATTCTATCAAAACTATAAGAATGAGCTGTCAAATTGAGAGAAATTAAGAAAAATTGTTACCAGGATATCAACTTAGGTTCTTAAAATCAGTTGATCCATTGCCAAAACTTTTGGCATCTTAACAGAATTACCCATACCCCTTTACAGCTGGTTTTGTAGCTCAATTAATTAACATAACGTCAACTAATAGTTCTTGGATAAAGACACTTCTTGGTAACATTACAAGATGGGTGGTAAGCATTCTTTACCAAAGTTTCCAGATTGTTTCAATTGTTTATCAAGATCTTCAACAAATACTCTATCAGTGAAGCAAAGGAACCAAATCAATTCAACACATTCAACTAGAGATTGGTCTATAAGCTCACGTTCTGACAGCTTAGAAAGCATCATTTCTGGTGAATCGTGCCATACCAAGGACAAGGTACCTCGGATTGAAGCTACTTCGTCCAGTGAAGATGAAATAGACTGGGCAGATCGAAGTAAAGAAGATTAGAAAAGAAGATTAAGAAGACGACTAAGACAACCAAGGATGCTCAAAACTAAAGTGTCACCAGCTGAAGCATAAGCAGATAATAATTATGATGCTGATATTTCTCGATCACCTTCTCCTACAGAGTTCTAAAGCGGTTTAAGTAATCAGTTACAATGTGATACCTATACAATGGGTATATTGAAAAATACAAGATATGTGTACATGGCTATGGGGGTGTTAAGACGCAACGTTACCTTATAACCATGAATAGCTTCAGAACTGAAGAAAGTTGAAGCCTTCGTAGTGGGCTAAATGGAAGATAGAAGCTAAATTGTCAGTTATGTCGGAAGCAACAGAAAGCTACGGGATGGTATGTATGACTCAAGAAAGTACAAGACTGCGTAATAATGGGCACATTGAAAAATAACTTCTGGGTATCAAGATTGTCGTTATTATTGGAAGCAACAGTAACCTTCTGAAATTTATAACTGAAGAAAGTGGAAGCCTTCGTAATGGGATCAATGGCTATAATAATTTAATATGCTTCTAGAATATAAAAGCGTTAAGAACACCATGGAGTATGCAAAGAAAACTGGACTTCAATTGTGAAAAGATTGTGCTATGAACACAAGGATGAATATACAATATGTTATTGTTAATATACATGTAAATGTAATTGATGCGTAAAGTAATGTATTCTTATAACGATTTTTATTGTTATTTCTTTTATTATTTTATTTATTTATTTTTTGTTAGCAATTCAAGCTGTTTGATAAGCGACAATGTCTATGAAAGCTTGTGGCTGTTACTTGGTCAATTGATTATATTCCCATTCAGTCCATAATCCTAATCCAAAATCTCAAAAGGTACTTAAATTGATAATACATCTAAATGCATTAACTTTTTTGTGGCTTCAAAATCAAGTTTGTAACTGTCAATATGTACCAGTCTCTCTAAAAGTATCGTCATATAACATTGGTATTACACATCATATTTGTCTAACGTATCGACTTTCAATAATAGATGACATCAAAACGATGTCGCAGTCAAGCGACCAGTTGTATATCTTGCGAAATGGGCATCCAAATGACTCTTTTTAATATCATGTACAATATTTTTTATCAGTTTGAATTCAGTTTACCGTTTTTTTTAGTTCATATGAATACGAAACCATCTAATTCTGTGCCATACAAATAAAAATTCAATTCAAAAGTCGCTCAATTATACACTTAGCAGGTCTGGTCTCACAGGAAACCTCAGAATTTGTGATAAATAAGAAATACGTAAATGATGATTTATTTTCGGGCTATAAAAAGCTGTTGGATCAGGAGAGTTCAGTTAACCCTGAGTAGTTCTACTAACAAGTCGTCTGCGTGATAGATATTTTGGCTGTAATTCAGTAAGTATTTATTTTTTCGAGAGAATTCCGTCTCCGTTGTAATCTAACTAGTTTTCTATTACGTTCTGATAACGTTAACCAATCAGAGTGTGTCATGTAGAACCCGTTTCTAGATAACGATGACGGATTGATTTATACCGTATAGCAAAACCCAAAATAAAGCAAAATGACAACTATCCCACAATTCGTCACCGTTATCAAGAAACGCGTTCTACATGATTAAAATAACTCATTAGAACGAAACTGTGATAAAAAAAATTGTTAGATTCAATTGGGGACAACAAATATCGGAATAAATAAAACGAAATTGTGCTCTAAATTTAATTGTAGATTAATATATTCAAGTTCAATTTCCAACCTTACGACAACTACAATTCTACAGAAGTTTCCACTTGTCATTTTCTTTCAAATACAACTTCTTTGTTTTGCAGCAAAGCGGAAATGGGAAGTAAATGTTCAAGAATAAAGACCACTGAAATGCCGATCCAATCGGAAAGAGAAAAAAATCAGACGTCTTATTTTCTGGCGTCCACAGTGTTTACTGGATTTTCTCTGAGTGAATTCGATGAAAAGAGGCCGTTGATGTTTGCATCAGACAGGAAAGTTGAACTCCGCAAAAAGTCTTTTTATGCAACAAACACTGCTTATCAGTTTTAAGTTTAATAGTACTGGAAGAAATAATGTTTTTCATGGCAATGCTGGAAGAAATAATGTTTTCCATAGCAATGAAGAAATAATGTTTTTCTAAGCAATGCTGGAAGAAATAATATTTTTCTAAGCAAGGCTGGAAGAAATAATGTTTTTCTAAGCAATGAAGAAATAATGTTTTTCTAAGCAATGCTGGAAGAAATAATGTTTTTCATGGCAATGCTGGAAGAAATAATGTTTTTCATAGCAATGAAGAAATAATGTTTTTCATAGCAATGCTGGAAGAAATAATGTTTTTCTCAGCAATGAAGAAATAATGTTTTTCACAGCAATGAAGAAATAATGTTTTTCACAGCAATGAAGAAATAATGTTTTTCTAAGCAATGCTGGAAGGAATAATGTTTTTCTAAGCAATGCTGGAAGGAATAATGTTTTTCTAAGCAATGCTGGAAGGAATAATGTTTTTCTAAGCAATGAAGGAAGAAATAATGTTTTTCTAAGCAATGCTGGAAGGAATAATGTTTTTCTAAGCAATGAAGAAATAATGTTTTTCACAGCAATGAAGAAATAATGTTTTTCTAAGCAATGAAGAAATAATGTTTTTCTAAGCAATGAAGAAATAATGTTTTTCTAAGCAATGAAGAAATAATGTTTTTCTAAGCAATGAAGGAATAATGTTTTTCTAAGCAATGAAGAAATAATGTTTTTCTAAGCAATGCTGGAAGAAATAATGTTTTTCTAAGCAATGAAGGAAGAAATAATGTTTTTGTAAGCAATGCTGGAAGGAATAATGTTGTTCTAAGCAATGAAGAAATAATGTTTTTCTAAGCAATGCTGGAAGGAATAATGTTTTTCTAAGCAATGCTGGAAGGAATAATGTTTTTCTAAGCAATGAAGAAATAATGTTTTTCTAAGCAATGCTGGAAGAAATAATGTTTTTCTAAGCAATGAAGGAAGAAATAATGTTTTTCTAAGCAATGCTGGAAGGAATAATGTTTTTCTAAGCAATGAAGAAATAATGTTTTTCACAGCAATGAAGAAATAATGTTTTTCTAAGCAATGAAGAAATAATGTTTTTCTAAGCAATGAAGAAATAATGTTTTTCTAAGCAATGAAGAAATAATGTTTTTCTAAGCAATGAAGGAATAATGTTTTTCTAAGCAATGAAGAAATAATGTTTTTCTAAGCAATGCTGGAAGAAATAATGTTTTTCTAAGCAATGAAGGAAGAAATAATGTTTTTGTAAGCAATGCTGGAAGAAATAATGTTTTTCTAAGCAATGCTGGAAGGAATAATGTTTTTCTAAGCAATGCTGGAAGGAATAATGTTTTTCTAAGCAATGCTGGAAGGAATAATGTTTTTCTAAGCAATGAAGGAAGAAATAATGTTTTTCTAAGCAATGCTGGAAGAATAATGTTTTTCTAAGCAATGCTGGAAGGAATAATGTTTTTCTAAGCAATGCTGGAAGGAATAATGTTTTTCTAAGCAATGCTGGAAGGAATAATGTTTTTCTAAGCAATGCTGGAAGGAATAATGTTTTTCTAAGCAATGAAGGAAGAAATAATGTTTTTCTAAGCAATGCTGGAAGGAATAATGTTTTTCTAAGCAATGATGAAATAATGTTTTTCTAAGCAATGAAGAAATAATGTTTTTCTAAGCAATGAAGAAATAATGTTTTTCATGGCAATGCTGGAAGAAATAATGTTTTTCTAAGCAATGCTGGAAGAAATAATGTTTTTCTAAGCAATGCTGGAAGAAATAATGTTTTTCTAAGCAATGCTGGAAGAAATAATGTTTTTCTAAGCAATGCTGGAAGAAATAATGTTTTTCTAAGCAATGCTGGAAGAAATAATGTTTTTCTAAGCAATGCTGGAAGGAATAATGTTTTTCTAAGCAATGAAGAAATAATGTTTTTCTAAGCAATGAAGAAATAATGTTTTTCTTAGCAATGCTGGAAGGAATAATGTTTTTCTAAGCAATGGAGAATTAATGTTTTTCTTAGCAAGGCTGGAAGAAATAATGTTTCTCTAAGCAATGGAGAAATAATGTTTTTCTAAGCAATGCTGGAAGAAATAATGTTTCTCTAAGCAATGGAGAAATGTTTTTCTAAGCAATGGAGAATTAATGTTTTTCTAAGCAAGGCGGAAGAAATAATGTTTTTCTAAGCAATGGAGAAATAATATTTTTCTAAGCAAGGCTGGAAGAAATAATGTTTTTCTAAGCAAGGCTGGAAGAAATAATGTTTTTCTAAGCAATGGAGAAATAATGCTTTTCTAAGCAATGCTGGAAGAAATAATGTTTCTCTAAGCAATGGAGAAATAATGTTTTTCTAAGCAATGCTGGAAGAAATAATGTTTTTCTAAGCAAGGCGGAAGAAATAATGTTTTTCTAAGCAATGGAGAAATAATATTTTTCTAAGCAAGGCTGGAAGAAATAATGTTTTTCTAAGCAAGGCTGGAAGAAATAATGTTTTTCTAAGCAAGGCTGGAAGAAATAATGTTTTTCTAAGCAATGGAGAAATAATGTTTTTCTAAGCAATGCTGGAAGAAATAATGTTTTTCTAAGCAATGCTGGAAGAAATAATGTTTTTCTAAGCAAGGCGGAAGAAATAATGTTTTTCTAAGCAATGGAGAAATAATATTTTTCTAAGCAAGGCTGGAAGAAATAATGTTTTTCTAAGCAAGGCTGGAAGAAATAATGTTTTTCTAAGCAAGGCTGGAAGAAATAATGTTTTTCTTAGCAAGGCTGGAAGAAATAATGTTTTTCTAAGCAAGGCTGGAAGAAATAATGTTTTTCTAAGCAATGATGGAAGAAATAATGTTGACGAAACTTCTAGTTGTCTTCTTATTGACTTCAAAACTGGAAATGAAACAACTACAATACAACTTAAAAATAATGTTAGATTGCGCCGTGTGATTAATTATTTCGCCATGTCATTAAGAGTTTGTCATTTTAAAGGTTTCTGCTTATAATATTGATTATGAATAAATTATAATAAATTATTTACTTAGAAAATCCCTAATGTATTTTATTATATTCAATTAGATAGGTTTTTGAGTAAAATCGTTATCGGTAAGGTTACAAATTCGGCTGTAGCCTATTCGTCAATAAAATCGGCTAGAGGTATGGCCTTAGAGCCGATGGCTTGCCATTTACGGGGGCGGCGTTGATTTTGGTCTTGAATCAGGCCCATAACTATAGGGGGCGTATGGTGGGGGTGGGGGTGGGGTTGGGGGCCATCGCCATCGCCCAGGACAAATTCGAACAAATTCTAGTTAGTTCTGTAGCCTACGATTACAGACACCCCCACCCCCCCTTGTTGAGACAATGGGCTGGGTACGGGCCTGTCTTGAGTATTACTTAAATGGTTTTCAGATGTACTAGAACTTCATGATAATCGCACAATCCCTTCAAATATACCTCAAACTCGAAATTCCACTTTCTTTTTCTTTACATGGCGTAGTCTGAAGAAAAGACGAGTCGTCAGTTTAACTTTCAAACGTGGATAAATGAAATTCCAAGCGGGTTGATTGGATTGTGTCGGTTTTTCCTTGTGCACTTAGTCCAATTATCCTTAAATTCCATATATATAAAACAGTACCAACAACAACCACGATAAACAGGAAGGTATAAACAGAAAAACGGGGACAAACAATTTTGATAGTTCAAGGGAGATAACTGATGAAAAATATTTCCATTTAATTTGAAGTGTTCAAGGGAGGGAAATGAAATGAATGGAGTTTTACGTCCCACTTTTCTGCACCATGTGGGCTAATGAAGACGGGCAACGCCATGCAGGGTGCAATGAAGGAAATTTTGCCAGGACAGCGGTATAAGCCTGCTCTTTTTCGATTTCCAACTATCAAGGGATCTTTAACGTGCACAGCCTGTAGCACACGGGGCCTCGGTTTATTGTCCCATCCGAACGACTAGACGCTTTTTCTAACAGGGGGAAACCGGTTGAAAAATCCGAAGGTATTATCTCGACCTATGCCGGGATTGAACCCTGGACCTTCAGGTTAGCGAGCAAACGTCTAACTCACTGAGCCACAGCGGCTCCCATTTCAAGGGAAGGGGAACTGGTCACAATATTATTATAGGAAATAATGTAACATTATACCATTTTATAATGAAAAGTGTCATCAACTCTTCAGAAGCGCATACCCTGCTTGAACCACACCTGCCATTGCTGTACAATACTACACATACAAAATAGGGAGGGAAAAACAAAACCGTGAAAAATTATAGAAACATCTGGTGGCAACTTATTATTATGATAGGGCCTACATGTGATAAAACATGTTTTAACTTAGTGTCTTAATCCTTAAACAAAATCCTCTGCGATGACAAGTGATAATTGGTTATGTTTTTAATATCTATTTCATTATGTATGTATTTAAAAATAAATCGACAAGTAGGCATAGAGGCACGCAGTTTGTGTCCTTAGGGATACATTCATATTTCATCAAACTATTCTTTTAAATGGATTCTCTTACTTACTAAGAAACAAAGCTTTCTTACCTGGATGAGTTGGTTTACATTCAGATCTGTTGACAAAGATTAAGATTATGTGAAATATTATGATAAATTTCATCCTGAATCCAAGCGAAATTCGAAAGTAAAATAAAGATATTAATGATAGATTCTTCGAATAATTTTATATATTATAAAGATATTGATGTGGACTTGAAAACGTCACAAATAACTACGCTATCTTGGTGTAACAGCTGTAAGACAATGTATTGAAATATTTAGTTGAATGGACAAAGGAATTAAATAAAGATCAATGTGCCACTACGCCCCAATGGTTGACGAAATATGATTTAGATCAATAACATGTAAACAAACTGAACAACAACGACGCAGATTAGATAGAGGATTCAACGACATAATAACTGTAGGCCTATTTATCAAGCGAGTTCTATAAAATTTTACCGGCCAAAAATTAAAAATTAAAAGGAAATGAATGGTGTTTTACGTTCTTTTTTTCTACACCATGTGTGCTAATGAAGACAGGTGCATTGAAGGAAATTTTGCCAGGACGGCGTCATAAGCCTGCCCTTTTTCGATTTCCATCTGTCAAGGAGATCTTTAACTTGCACAGGCTATAGCAAACGAGGACTCGGTTTATTGTCCCATCCGAATGACTTTTTCCATGTCAGTCCCTCTTACCCGCAACACTTACAGGGGGAAACCGGGTTGAAAAATCCGAAAGTATCATGTCGACCTGGCCAAAAAGTAGACAAGGTTGCAAAATACTATTAATGATTCGTATGAAAGCGGACTTTAATTGTATTTATGATTTTAAAAACGGAGAATGGAATATTTCTGTTAGCTTACTTGTTATGACCAAAATCAGTCTCAGATGTATGAAAGAATAACTTTAAAGTCTTGTAGACTGAATCAATTATCCTATTTATAAATCTGCGGATAGATGGGATACGGTGTGATGTATGTCGTATCGTAAACAATAGAAGAAGCAACTTGTATCCGGACCAAATCTAACTGAAATTAAAAGGGGGGACATGGCCCCCCAGACAAGAGGCTGGTTTGATATCCCACAATTCCTTATTTCATCAAGAAATGGGTTCAAGATGACACGCTTTGTTTGGTTATATATTACCACCTGTGGATTGGACGTGTGGAACGGACCTGTACCCAATGTATTCGCTTTTTCTATTTTCTTTCATTTAGATTGTTCCCGTACCGTATGACACATCAGGCACCGGGCACCGGTCACCGTACTTGTCTGTTGGTAACTTTAGTATAAAATAAAAGCGAAAATCTGAGACATTAATGAGCCTCCGTACTTTTCTATTAAGCATGCCTATCTATTATCATGACCTATTTATTTGTGATAAAAGATTAACATTAGGTTTGTTATATTATTTATAGAATTCATATTCTTGGTGTAAGTTAAGGTACAATGAACCTAAAGTTTATTATTTTGCAACCAATAGATTCTTTAGCTAGAGAACATGGCTTTTAATGTAATAATGTTGAACATTTCTGGATCCTACCCTACAATACAATTGGGTTATATTAGGATGACAATGTACTAATATGATGACAGGATTCACAGCACTATGCTTAAATAATTGGACTTTAATGTTTTATGAATTAATAATTAGTTTCAAAAGCATCTGATTAAGAAAAGGGCTTGATATAGCCTATACGTATGATTGAAAAGATGATCAGCTGAAAATAAGTTCATTTTCGAATTATCGTTCTTGGGTTAGTCCAAAACTGTTCAACTTATAGTCTAGTAACATAGATATGACATAAGATTAACAAACATTATATCTTCTTTTTGAAATATTGTTGGCATTGTACCCCGTATGTAAGTTTTACCCATATTACTGTATTATTCTATGAAAGTAAACTACTAACATAAAATTCCTAAGGAATGAAATAAAAACTGTTGTATATGTAGGTTTAGCTATTGATATACTGATAGGTAACAGCGTAGAATCTGTAATATTGTTATTTTCAGTAATTGTCTTATTTGCAGTTTCTCACCATGAAAAGCCGACTAGGAATAGCCTTAATAGGCATGGGTCGCATGGGTAAGTTAAACTTTTAGTTTGAAGAAATCAGTAGGCTCTTTGCTCAAATACATTACATCGCCTCAGATGATGTATTTCAACCATAAAATTTTGTATTATATTTATTAGGTTTGATACACCTAAAGAACTGTATGATGTCACCAAGAACTGATGTAAAATGGGTTATAAGAAATAATATTGTAGAAGCTGAGAAATATCTAATGAATTACAACCTGCCAATAAAATACACATCACCTGATAGATATACTGACGTTTTAAATGATCCCAGGTAATAAAATCATATAGTAGTCTAAATATTTACAGACAGTTAGTGACTTCAAATTCAGTAACCCTTCTAAATCTGACTTTCCGGTCTCTTCAATTTTAACAAAAGCGTATCCAGGAAGTTTATTCCGGTGCAATAAACTTTCTCATGTGGAGATATGAGGATTGGCTGAGAAAACTTTAAATTAAACTCATAAGCAGTCATTTTGGCACATATACCCACAAGTCAGTTAGACACGTTCCTTTAGGCACACATCTTTGGGCACTCGGTTATTTAGGCACAGGCCATATAGATGTTTACAGTTATTTTTGCAGTATGTTTCCATTAACTGTTAAGTAAAAGAACAATGTATATTTTATCAACGCAGTCACCCTGTGACTATAAATACTGTTATATTCTAATTAACTTTTAAAAAATCGGTTAATTCCATGTGCCTGCGATTGTGCGAATGTGTGAAACAACAATAAACAGTTATTGCAGTTTCAAAGTTTTTGATTAGCACTATGACAAAACTGCGATAAATAGATGTTGATTTCACACATTCGTCATTCGTCGATAAATTAAATTGAATTTATATTTTTTATAACAGTTAAATCAAAAACTGTAAAATTTAGATAAATAAATGTTAACTTGCGACCTCCAAGTTAAAGTTTTATCCTTACAGTGTAGATGCTGTGATAATCGCTTCCTCTACTGATACACATGAAGATTTCATTAACAGATCCCTTCAGGCAGGTAATATCAATGACTGAGGTTTTATCGACAAATATTTCAGGGTCTCTTTCTCTTTGAGACGTCAACAGTTCAGATATTGTATTTACTGGCCTCAGATTGCATATGCAATTCTAAAAGGGACTATGGCGAAAAGTTTGATAAGAAAGGTGGTTTTGATTGATTTCCGTCCACCTGAGGGAGGTGTTTTTTTTTTTTTTGTTTCAGTTTCAGTAAATTAGTTCTGGACAATCTGTTGTCCGGAGAACAGGCGCATCGTACAGAGGAGACCTTCCGATATCCCCGTGATCATTTCCTTTTTTGTCGTATTTGTACGCGTTTATTGGATGAAAAGTGGTTCATGTTGCTCTCTTAGGGCCTCTTTCTTTGGCCCTGTATATAATTTCAGCTGATTTTGAACAAGGTGATGGTGAATACATGTAGGTATAATGTATTGCCTCTAAGACCTATGTACCCAGGTTTATGTCCAGAAAGAGTATTGACACCTAAATGTGATGATCAAACTGTTTTCTTTTCAAGGTAAACATATTTTCTGTGAGAAACCAATAACATCAAATATAGATACAACAAAACAGTGTTATGATTTGGCCGAAAAGTTTGATAAACATCTGTTTTGTGCATTTCACAGGTAAGCTGTTATTCTTCAGGGGATCATTATAACATAAATCTGTAAATCATATCCTACAATATTACTCTGTTTGTCAGTTGTTTACCACTACAATATTACTCTGTTTGTCAGTTGTTTACCGAAACAATATTACTCTGTTTGTCAGTAATTACCACAACAATATTACTCTGTTTGTCAGTAATTACCACAACAATATTACTCTGTTTGTCAGTTGTTTACCACTACAATATTACTCTGTTTGTCAGTAATTACCACAACAATATTACTCTGTTTGTCAGTGATTACCACAACAATATTACTCTGTTTGTCAGTTGTTTACCACTACAGTATTACTCTGTTTGTCAGTAATTACCACTACAATATTACTCTGTTTGTCAGATGTTTACCACTGCAATAATAACTGTATGTCACCTGTTTATCATTTGTTGTGTTCTTGTAGACGTTTCGATCCCAGTTTAAAGATTCTGAAAGATAAACTAGATAGAAAAGTATTGGGTGATCCCAGATTAGTAAAAATTTCGAGTCATGACGTCACAGCACCGCCTATAGACTATTATAGAAATAATAAAGGTATGTTAATGTGTCGTTATATAAGTTAATAAATTAAGTATGTGAAATAGGGATATTGCCCTACACCTATATTTGTATTATCCATATATTTTCAAATAATACCAATTGAACTCAATTGAGTTACTCCTATGACGTTTTAGAATGAGAACATTTTTGTTTAAGGATAAAAGTATGCGTAAGCAATGTCGTTTAAATCTTTTAGGTGGTATCCTAACCGATTCAACAATACATGATTTAGACTTAGTTCGATGGCTTATTAACTCTAATCCAGCCAGTATTAATATCAGTGAAACTTCATTTAATCCTGAAGTAGCCAAATACGACAGTGAATTGGTGCTCGTTACCATCAAGTTTAAAAATGGCGCTATGTGTGTTATTGATAATGGGCGACAGGCAACTTTTGGATATGATCAAAGAACAGAGGTCAGTGTTTATAAAACTAAATGATAAAATCGGGTAAACAGCTTATTGAAAAAAATTGAGCAATATTAAGGGTTTTTCATTACCATTTGTCAACAGGTTCTACATGGCACACTCTGATTGGTTGAAAATAACGCCTTTACAGCGAAAATACAGAAAACTTGTTAGATTACAACGGAGAAGAAAAATATCAGAAAATAAAAAAAGAAACGTGTAATCTAATTCAAATTGAATTGACAATTCAGTTATTCAACTTAAGCGCCATTTATTCAACCGACTAAGAAAGGTAGATATTACAACTGGACGATGAAATATAGTCCATGAATTAAATCCTATATTCGTCAAAGATGTTATCTACTATAACCTATAATAGGTAGAGATCTTAGGGTAAACTGAATGACTGCCTACATTCAAAATAGAAAATTTAAGCTGTGCTTTGCAGATGTAAAAGTGAATCTAGCTTAAGTCATAGATTACCTACATTTGGCCTTTTTCTGTGCCGTTTATTGAATGTTCTTACAAGATCCAAAAAATGTAGGCTCACACTTTATTTTATTGAATGCTTAAAATAACGTTGCAGGTTTTATGTGATAAAGGTGTATTAAAAGTAAGAAACAAGTCTGCCAATCTATTTACTATGTCTACCAGTGATAAGTCTACAGTTTCTGGTATTGATCTCTGTTTTACTCAAAGATATGCTCAGGCTTATCAAAATGAATTGGAACATTTCCTAGATGTTCTACAGGGTTAGTTTATACTCGATTTTTCCACAAGACACACATTTTCAGACTTTTTGAGTTGGAATCTTTGGCATCTTTATTCCATTTCCAGTCAATTGACTTTTTATCTGATATGAGAAACATTATTCTGTGAAACGCGCAGATAGTGTCGATTTTATGCCATAGCTGTCTGTGATCTCGAGTGATATGATAACGACTTCGAAATGACGATGATTGAAAATGAGCGTTTCATCTAAAGAAGCATTTACATTTCCAATGTAAAAAACTGTTATATTACGACTTATTTAATTTTTATTTGCTTATAGGTAAATGTAGATTGGAAGTAAATAAAGAAGATATTTTAGAAGTTTATAAATTAATCGAAGCTGGTAGAAGATCTATAGATTTAAAAACACCTGTTAATCTAAATACAGACTGAATACATTTATATTTATAGCCTTTACTATATTTTTGAAATTTGTGAAATACAGCTCTACATTCATTGTATTGTCTTGAGTTTACTTAGCTAATTTCATTATCTGTAGCCTCTATCATCCTGTCCTATTTTATAAACGAACGACAATCGAAGACATATAAGTCGGATGACATTTAATGTAATGTCAAGAAATGCTATGGTCGGTGCCTACTTTTTTCTAACAATAAGCAGATGTATTAAACTACTGAAGCCACAGCTACAAAAATATTGTTCATGGTTTGGATGAATCTAAATCGACACGATGGGTATGTGGACTCAAGTTGATAAACCAAGTTGCAGAAAGGATCAGATGTTCCAGATGAGTGAGAATTCAATTATTGCAGTACCGATATTTTCTCTAGATATACTTGATAGTAAGAAGGAGTGCGCATTATATATGCATGCGCACTATATTCAAAATTATACAGTATTCCATACGTTTTTGCACTCGAAAGTTTAAAGGCTATATAATGTTCTTAATCATATACTGTAAATTGTATAGATTTGTATACTGTAAATAGAATGGATTTGTAAAAGAATACACTAATTAGAATTAATAAACTTTATGGTATTAACTACATATACATGTATAATAATTAAAATATTATGATCTATTCTCTAGCACAATTTATAATAATATATAATGAGATTTATACTGGGGAACTAAAAGGGACTGAATAATAAACATTAGCTTACTATTATAATACACTAATAAACAAAACAGATATAAAGGGACTTTAATTACTGGAACAAAACAATCCGATTTAAAGCAAATCTAAATGTTCCTTTTGGGCTTTTCAATAAAAGATTCAACAGTGACAGGCTTTTGATTGGTTAGCATAATTATGACAACTGTTGGAGCTATTGGGTCAAAATTAGCTGTAACACATTCTTGGAAAGAATTTCTTCAGATTATGGATGGCAAGTGTATTAACCAATAGAAAAAGGAAACATTTCGAATTGCATTTAATTTTGATGGCTTCTTTAAAAAAAAGTATTCATGCCAAGGACGGACTAAAACATTTCAAAAACAAATAAAAATACAACTGTAAAAAACAAAGGATTAAAATAGTCTGTAATACATAGATAAGGTGGAAATCTTCTTTAGATAAATAAGAAAAAAGGAAATTCCACAACAGGTGTATGTGAATTTGAATTACCACCAAACCAAATGAGTTATTTAGATTTGAGCTTATTTCAAACAAATTTAGAGAAGTTTCCTATTTGATATTATGTAAATATCAGATTTTCATGGAGTAAAATTTATTTCTTTTGGAGGGAGGACCACATATAAAACACATTGTATTTAATTTGCAGAAAATAATGTTAGAGACAAAACATGATAAAAATAAGGGACAAGGCAACTATTGATATATTTGGTAGAAATAGTTCTAGGTAATTCTTACAATAGGTACTAACACTGTCACACAATGAGTACTTATTGAAGAATATAAGGCTATACATGTATATATATATATATATACAAGGCAAAGACAATATAGTTTGGCAGGATTTCTAACAAAAGAGGTAGAGAACACCATAAAAACAATTAAATTTCACACAACTATAGGACAGTTACAGTAGTCATAAAGACAATACCAAATCTTATTCTTTTTATGTCGAATATCCACTAACACACAAAGCATTTTTAATCTGATATCACTTCCAGAATAATGGACTTTGCAATTAATGAAATGATAGTTTGCCACTAATTCAAGATTGTTAATTAATTCAAGATTGTTTATTAATTCAAGATTGTTAATTAATTCATAGATTCTACTATGAATGAAGTTTTACTTTTGTAAAGATGAGAGTTTTTTTCTCAAAAACTTTATCAAGATAAAATCTATAACTTTATAAGATACATCAATTTCAAAATAATTTTCAATAGATGTCCAATTAACTAAATTTGTTGAGCCCTGGAACCAAATTTGACCATTACAAAAGTCTAGGCAATGCCTTTAGGATACATTTGTAATCAAATTCAATGACAAGCACATTTTTTCAAAAATATGATTAAATATGAAGGCACATTATAAATTACACATTATGACACATATAAGTTATGTATTTTATATAACATATTACAATAAAACTAATACATTATAAGCTACGTTCTTGATATTCTTACAAATTATGCTTCTTGTAAAAAAGTACATTCTAAAATTGCAAATCGGAAAGTAAAATATTATGCTAATATAAGTGTATTGGATGGATTTATAGAAGATATGAGAGTATGGATGGATTTAAAAGAAAATTTCATCAAAAACCTGGATGGATTAAGTAGAGAGTTGCACAATATTGTATTTTATTGTAAGCACAAACTATATAAAAATACATAATAATATCACAGTAATAATATTAACAACACTAACATGAAAGATAAATGTTTTTACTATCTCAGTTAAAAATCAGATTCATATTCTATTTAATATAGTACAGACAGAGCAAGTTGAACATACATTGATTTTTATGCTGTATTCGTTACCTTTCCAATAATTGGGAAGTAGAAAATTTTCAAATAGCAAATGCTATTCAAAACCATAATGAGAGAAGTCTTATTTCCAAGTGAAAACCTTGGGTTTATCGTGAGCAATTCAAGTTACCCAGTTGCAATAACATGACATAATAATATGCAATGTAAGTATTATATCATTATAGAGAAAAAAATCCGTACAAGCAAGACAATTCCATCAATCGTCAATGACAAAATCGGGAGTATAAGTTGTATAGTAGTTGACTTCTCCAAATAGAAGTACCATCACATGTCCATACTGAATTTCCAAGACATGTTCTGAATAAGAAGTCATTATGACTTGTCACTTGGAAATTCAGAGGTAAAGTAAGATTTTGTTTGTCATATAAAGAGACTGGGGTAGTAATAACATGCTGCTAAGCTAATTAAATGCATGTTTACTGATAAATGATACTAGAAAATTATAGAAATTATATATTATTTAAATCTAATTCTTCATCAGAACTGACATCTGTTACACTGACAAAGGAACTTTTAGATTGAGGTCTTTTATCTTGATTCACAGAACTGACACCTGAAAAATACAACATTTGGTTATCAATAATACTGTTGTTATATGAATAGTCTTTTCAAAGTATTCCATTTCTGAATGACTGAAGGCTTGCACCGATCATTTTCAATTGCTTGGAATTCCAATAAACCAAGCTATTCTATGACTTAGCTATTGCAAAGACCCTTTATTATTTGTATAAGCAGCTTTTGTGATAGTGACATTGTATATGGTTAAGCATTTCTATAATTTAAGGAACCTCAGACATCTGACAAAAATTTGGAATATGCACTAGAAGCCAAACCGGGCAACAATATTGAAGTTATGGAAATTGACTTTTCTAAGAATGAAATCCTTGAAAAACCTCAACAAAATCAATTTTTTTCTATAAGAAAAGCCATCTCAAAACAGGGGTTATCTAGAAAATACCTCGGGTGGAGGGCCAAAGCCTATTAAAGCTGGTGGTCCTCCCAAACACCAATGGATTTCAAAAATGAGATGAATTTTGAGCATTTATAGGGCATAATTTTCATTTCAAAATAAGGGGGGAGGAGGCATGACCCAAACACATCAAACAATGTAAGTCTAACAAACAAAAACCTACCTTTAGATGATGACCCCCACTGACTTGTACCATATGTATTAGTAGATAAATCAGTTTCATTGTGACTCATTCTAGTATTCTGATGTCTGTAATATTAAACAATCAAAATGTACATTATTTGGTGTAATCTATGCACAGGAAGAGGGAAATGAATGAACAATAACAGCTTCTTTCAAGGGGACAATACTCTTCTTTATCACAAGATGAGTGCTTCCAGCTAAACATTGACATAAAAATATAACCAAATACCCTAAAACATAATCACAAATATCCCACATAAAAATAATATTTTTTTGATGTATTTAAAGAATATTGATTTGTGGATTGGATGTTAGCTTCCTTTAGTACTGGTGAAACATTTTGGTCAAAAAAATGCAAAATGCAAAAGAAGAGATAGGTGTACAACACTGTGCTACATTCTCTTAGGCCTATACAACAGAGTTGACACTAACCCTCTATTTATTACACTGGTTGTTATTATTCTATTGTAGAAGAATATATCCTTTGAACAACAGAGAATTTAAACTTACCTCTGTGTTGCTGGTTTGAAAGCATTATCATCTTCATCAGAGTCAAAATCATCAACATCCTGAAACAAGATTAACATTGAAATAATATGTTTGCAAGGGGAGAATAGGTGAGTAAATACTAGCATGTTTACGTAAGATATGATTCCCCTTCTGGTCAGAAACTTGCTTACCCATTGATTGTGCAACGAATGAATAAAACTGAATTCATAAATGATGTTTTTTTCAAGACTAGGGGTGAATCCATCTTTAAGGATTAAAGAATGATCATCTTTCAGCAGATATCATGAAATTAAAGAATAATATAGATAGATAAAAATTTACGATGTATACTGTACTTACAAATCCTTCAGTTCCCTGTATAGTGTTAACTGAACCTGCTGGTTTTTTAACACTACCTCGATTCTGAAAGACGACAACAGAAATTCTTATTAAAATTAGCCCAAATAACTCCTGTTTCTAGAAGATAGAAATAGAAATTTGGTTTCAAACAGATTTAATAGTATTCTGCTATAGTCAAAATTAGTTATAACTTACATTCAATTGATTTTCAATAGATTGTGATATTCTAGAAACATTTTCTCCTTTAGGTTTACTGATTATTAATCTAGGTTGAACAACTGGACGTCTTGGACTGGAGAAATCATCACTGAAAATACAGATAAAAAATTTAAAAAGGGACTGCATTAATAAATATTATCTATCTAACTATCATCATTTTGTTGTATAAGTTTCTATTGTAGTCTATGAACCTAGGCTGTGATTGTATTAATAACTATAATATAAGCATAATTATATGTTGTTGTATAAATTGCTATGGTATAACTCTAGATTGTATTAGATTGACCTAGGCTGTGATTGTATTAATAACTATAATATAATATAATTATATGTTGTTGTATAAGTTGCTATGGTATAACTCTAGATTGTATTAGATTAACCTAGGCTGTGATTGTATTAATAACTATAATATAATATAATATGTTGTTGTATAGGTTGCTATGGTATAACTCTAGATTGTATTAGATTAACCTAGGCTGTGATTAATTAACTATTAATAACTATAATATAATATGTTGTTGTATAGGTTGCTATGGTATAACTCTAGATTGTATTAGATTGACCTAGACTGTGATTGTATTAATAACTATAATATGTTGTTGTATAAGTTGCTATGGTATAACTCTAGATTGTATTAGATTGACCTAGGCTGTGATTGTATTAATAACTATAATATGTTGTTGTATAAGTTGCTATGGTATAACTCTAGATTGTATTAGATCAACCTAGACTGTGATTGTATTAATAACTATAATATAATATAATATGTTGTTGTATAAGTTGCTATGGTATAACTCTAGATTGTATTAGATTGACCTAGGCTGTGATTGTATTAATAACTATAATATAATATAATATGTTGTTGTATAAGTTGCTATGGTATAACTCTAGATTATATTAGATCAACCTAGACTGTGATTGTATTAATAACTATAATATGTTGTTGTATAAGTTGCTATGGTATAACTCTAGATTGTATTAGATTGACCTAGGCTGTGATTGTATTAATAACTATAATATAATATAATTATATGTTGTTGTATAGGTTGCTATGGTATAACTCTAGATTGTATTAGATCAACCTAGACTGTGATTGTATTAATAACTATAATATAATATGTTGTTGTATATGTTGCTATGGTATAACTCTAGATTGTATTAGATTAACCTAGGCTGTGATTAATTAACTATTAATAACTATAATATAATATGTTGTTGTATAGGTTGCTATGGTATAACTCTAGATTGTATTAGATTGACCTAGACTGTGATTGTATTAATAACTATAATATGTTGTTGTATAAGTTGCTATGGTATAACTCTAGATTGTATTAGATTGACCTAGGCTGTGATTGTATTAATAACTATAATATAATATAATTATATGTTGTTGTATAGGTTGCTATGGTATAACTCTAGATTGTATTAGATTAACCTAGGCTGTGATTAATTAACTATTAATAACTATAATATAATATGTTGTTGTATAGGTTGCTATGGTATAACTCTAGATTGTATTAGATTGACCTAGACTGTGATTGTATTAATAACTATAATATGTTGTTGTATAAGTTGCTATGGTATAACTCTAGATTGTATTAGATCAACCTAGACTGTGATTGTAT